TATATATATATATATTTGTATGTAAAAGTAAACAAATGTTACAAAATCATCACTTTCTATCTACTAAGTAATCTCATTATTTCACGAAATATATTAAAATAAAATATTCCCTTTAAATTTAAATATTTTGCGTGTGAGATATATAATAAAATATTATTCAATATGCATCATTTCCATCTTATGTTCCATTGCTAAATCGAACGGTAAGAAGCACGCCAAGAACGTTAACTAAACTTCCTTTCTAAGATCAATCTGCAGCAGCATTTTATTATTTTTAGTTATTTTTTAAACGTTACACTGAAAGTTTTGTTTTCACGATACGTGTATACAAGTTCAATGTAATTCAGATAAAGAATTGAGATGCAATAGGATTGCCGAATAAAATATATATAATTAATTGCATACGTAAATGAAGGAAGTGAAGAAAATTGACTTTCCCTATTCAGAAATAGCCTACCACCTCAATAATTGAAATAGCAAAGAGAAAATCTTGATCGATACATGTAAACTGTTTTGATAAGTGCATGTATTGGATATAAAATGATAATTAGTTAATAAGTAATAAAAGATCATAATAACGTCGTTTAAAATATCTCGTAAAATCTGTCATCTGACTAAGAAAAACTACTTTTAAAGAATAAATTGAAAAGTATAAAGGTGCAAACAGGGTGTTCTGTTAGCACCGTCTTTAATATAAATGTTTTGAACTTCTTGTTGAAAATGAAGTTGAAATATAAGCACATTAAGGAACATGAACTATTATTTAAATAAAAGAAATATAGCGACTCAATAGAAGAGGAATGCGGAATAAAAATTATCATAACCAGTTAGAAAATCAAAGGTTTTATCTAGCAATTTCCTTCCACCTCTTCTCAGTTTTCATTGGGAAATAAACAGATTTTTTCTATCTGACATTTTTCAATTATGATTAATCAGATTTTCATACTTTTTTAATGTTGCTTAGTTTTCTAATTCGAATGCTTATATTTCGTATGTAAAAATGATGCTTAAAGCATTTAATAAGGGTTGTGAAGACGGATCATCTGGCTTTTTCAATTTTTTTTCGGAAGTTCATAGTTTCAACTGGAATAATACATCAGATTTTTAATAAATAATGTAATACATTTCTACAACAACCGATACAGAAGTAACTAAAAACTAATTTTAAATAGATTAAAAAATAAGATTTAGCCGAAACACAAAATACTGACAAAATCAAATATGAATTTCTGTTTTTCAAAAATATAAAATGTTACTAAATGTACTAGACAAAAAACTGGCTCATACTTAGATAATATAATTTATTTTTTTAAGGACAGTATAATAATTAAATCTTCAATAAAGTAGATTATATAATTCTTAAACTTAATATAACTGAATCTTAAGAAGTGGATTATAATCTCTTATTTCTTATAAAGACAAATCTCTATTGTTAAAATAGTCAATTTATTCTGATTTTAAATCACAAATTCATTGAATCTTCAATGGAACAATTATAAATTTAAGTAAAAATAATTTAATATAGCAACGCAACGACACTGTTAAAAATTGTGGATTTCACCAAAACACTGGTAATGAAAAGACCAGTAGTTGTAGTATGATAACCGATCAATTAAATATGCTATCAAGTAAGCTTGAAGAGATTTCGACTTAACTTAACTGTAACCTTCTTATTGGCAGATAACCGTGAAAAAATTGGCAGATAGCCTTTGAAAATATTGCGATAAAATAGGTCTTTTTTTTTTTATTTTGACCACAATATGCATAATAAATATTAAGAATAATACTGCTTACTTTGTTATGTATTACTAATAAAAATGAGAGTAATTGAAAAGATATTTCAGGTTTTCCGATGATGTAAATAATATAAAAAGTTAAAAAAATCATAAGAACCAAAAAAGAAATTTTAATAAGAAAGTGAACCACAAATCATCTTAAATTAACAAATAACTTTTACCATTAATTACTTACACCAGATTTTTGTCCACACATTACTATTTAAAACAAAAAACTCAAATAAAATTAAAACGTCTACTATAAAACTTTCTTGTTTATTTAAGCTTAGATTAAAGAAAAAGCTAAAACTAGATACGAATCGTAATGTTTGAAGGCACTGATTAGACTCTAGGCCCTGACGCCGTTCTGAAAGGACCCAGTTGCAGTCCAAAGCAACTTTTTCAGACAGCTCTTCATTAAAATCATTGTTCGAAGTCTCCCTGAAAAATCAGTTAAAAGGATAATTTTGGATTTTATTCAACATTAGCTTCTGAAAGTACCACACTATTATACAACTTCGTTCCACATGATTAAAAATATTGGTACATCTAAATGAACATTCATTAATTGATAAAACATATGTTTTTTTACTGGTTAATTAGTTAGTAAAACTTATAATAAAGACTTATTAATTTATTTTAAATAAATGATCAGAATGTCTGTTATGACGCTAATAATTCCATATTTTTGAACTCTTTAGGCAAAAAACAAAGGTATAAAGCTAGATCCGAAAAGGGAATAATTTTAAATCATTATTGATTCTATAACAATTATAATATAAAGAATAAGAAATATAGATGTTAATAATAGTAGCGTATCTAAATTTAACAAATCCGACATTTATTTTAGTTTAGCTCCAAATTATGTGGCAGCATCAGGGAAACTATGTTTTATTATAGTAAGCAAATTTCATTTTAAACTCTATTTCAAAATAAAGTACTTTTAATCTTAATTTGTATGCACTTGATATAAGCTTATTATAATAATTGCAATTGTTGCCTTCAGGATGGACAGGCAAATATGTAGTTGCTTCAAACCAAATAAATATTAATTTTATCATATATTTATTACCTTAAATAGAAATTTATTGTAAGGAAAGAAAAAAAACTGCACTTTTTTACAATTTATGTGCAATGGACTGAACAAAAGAGACCGACTCACGCATAAATGTTAAATATCATACAGTGTCAAACATACAATTGCGATATGCGTTTGTTTGAATTCCATTAATAAATATTAAAACAAAAACGTATTGCTGTTAACATCAGATTTTTGATTAAGAAATAAGAATTCCCAATGTATATGTCATTTAAAAAAGAATTAATGTAAATTCTCATATCATATATGGAAGCATTTATTCCTTTGTTTTGATCCCATTTAAATATCACTCTCAAATTATATATTTAAAAAAATGATAAAAATGCTACTTTATATCTTCCAACACCTTCTATTGAGTAGGCATTTATCAATCTTTAATTATCATACTCCTCTAAAATTTCTAATCTTTAGATTGCTTATTCTGAATATGAGTTTGTCAGTTATGATTTCCCTTTCACATGTCATTTGAAAATTAGAATTCCCTAAATATCTGAATGATGCTCACTAAATTGAACATAATAATGATTAAATCTACATATCTGCATATGGATTATACGAAATTCGAGATATCAAAATATTTGGCATAATTAAAGTTTCATTTTATTTTGCTGTTTATTATAGGTTTTAATAGATTAAAATGAAAATATTTTTTGAGAGTTTTACATGCATCACGTTTCAGTGCTGATGGGACAGAAAATATACTTCATCACTGTTATAAAATTGACCATAAAGTAATAATAATAGTAGTTTTTTAAACAAGATTACTTTTTTTCTATGAATTTATTAAATTCAATTAGTAAATGACGGAAAATAAATAGGCGAAGAGACAGTTTTTTTATTCAAATTGTTACTAGCAGTTTTTTTTTAAAAGACTGCATCCATAATAAAAATTGATTCCAAGGAAGGCATTCGAAAAACGTTTAACTAAAATATTTTATTTTTCTCAATATAGAATCAAATCAATATAAAAGAATTCAAGAGTAATTAATATAAACTGCAGTGTTTGTTTGAATGGAAGGGGAAGAGAACTTATTTTGTTTTTATTTATATTGGATTTGTTGTTTCCAAGTATTAAGTTCATCCCTCTATAAAAGCAATTTTCCCATAAATAATACATTTTAAATACTTTAAAAATCCTAAAAATATTGTAATTCCAAGCAATTCAATACCTTTCGAAAAATTAGCACAATATTTAACCATAATATCGGTATCTTGAATTATAATATGATGTAATTTTGCAGCAATATCAATAAAATGTAAATTGTCTCAGATTTCCGCTCACGTTAAGTCGTAGTATTGTGCAGTTACCTAAAAAATTGAAAACTCGAACAAAAAAATTTTATTTTTAATTTAATTTCATTAAGTATTTACAGAAAAATGCGAAAAAATAAAAAATTAAACATACACATTGCTAGAAAGTATAGATCTCATTAAATCATTATTTTGTCCAAATTTTTTACAACTCTAATGCTGCGCTATAATTATCATCATCAATGACTCGACAGTCCAGGTAGGCTTTCTTCAGAAGTTTTTTCCAGGCCAACCTTTTTCTTGCTAGCATATTCCACTTTTTAGCTTTTAAGATCAAAAGGTATTTTTCTAGGTCAACTATCCATCTCAAACTCAGCCTACCATTCTTTCGCGTGCCAACTGGTCTGGCCTTAAAAACTCTTTTTGTGGTACGGTTTACAAAAAGAGTTTTTAATGCCATACCAGTTGGCACATGAAAAAAGGGCAGGC